TGGTCTTGCTTCAGTTGCAGGAGACAAGTCAGGAGCTGATAAAGCCCAGTAGCTGTTCACACCCTTTCTTCAGAATACACCCAGAGCTCTGCCTCTTCTCCATTTTAACTTTCCCAGTGAAGAATTTCCCGCATTAGCTCCTCACCAGTGTTCTCTCAGTGTGCTAACTTCTGACTTTTGTACTGCTCAAGGTTATGTTTGATGGCTGCTTCATTCAGAAAGTCACAGGATGCAGTAGCTAAAATATCCGGGCTTCAATACCTGGCTCTCTGTGTTCCACCAGAGAACACAGTTGATCATCTAACCCTGAGACCAGTGTCTGCAGCAATTACACACATCCGGGAGACTTCTGACATCCTCTAGTGCCTACTCCTGAGGTTTCTCTTTGGAGGCCTGAAGCCATTATCACCTGACTTCTGATTCTATTGTCCCTGCTGTGGTAGTCTATTCTGTCTTTCAACTTGACTTCCCTGTCAGATGTCCACCTTTCACTCATACATTTGTCCCAACAACTCAAGAGCAGGCAACCTCCAATATGTTTGGAAGTGATAGGGCACGACAGTGTGTAGTTAGGCAGATGCTACCAGTCACAGAGTAACAATGGGAGGAAGAGGAGCTGGTGTGTTAGAAGGAATATGCTGTATGTTGGCCTTGTTACGTCTCAGGTATTTGAGGAGCATGTGTAACTGTTGTGACCTCTTTAGGACTTTTATTATTCTAGATCAAATTCCTACCAGAAAGGCCATGGAGTTCACTTTTCATCTGAAAAGTATAAATGAAAGGGACAGTGATAATTTCTCACCCCAGTAACGTAAAGAAGAAAGGATTTGTTCTATGTAACTGAAGTCTCTCCTACAGCAGGGATGCTATGCACACTCTTCAGAGGAAAGACTTAACTCCAGCAGTTTCAGCCATCTCTCCTCTATGATATCTCCCTTACGACCTTTGCATAACTGCTAGTGTGCTGAAGTTCATTGTGAAGGCGTGGACTCTGAGGCCAGTGAGCTAAGAGCAGGGGGAAGACACCTCTGAAAGCAGCAAGTTTTATTATTTTATTATTACTAGTTTCTGTGGAATTATCCAATAAGGTTCCTTTAAAAATGTCTCTACCATTTATTCATCAGTTTTTCTGGGCATGTGATACCATTTCTTTTTCAAAAGTGTTAGCCAACAGGGAGAGTAATGAGGATCCACAGGCATCTAAAGGAGTCCATCACTTGGCCACTGGTAACACTAGCTTTGCCTCCAAGACAGGCTTGACAGAAAACATGTGCTCAGACAACTGACTCTGGCTCCCATCCTGTATAGACTCATCGGCCACATGTCCACATTTCACTCCTGCACATGGCGCTGCTCAAGGGTAAGGGGCCTCCAGAACGTTTGGAAGTGGTAGGGCACGATGATGTGTATGTGATGTGCTCTCACCCTTCAGGGCCATTTCCGGGATCAATGATAGCAGATACTAAGTGTTACATATGTGCATATGTGCCCATGCACATGTAATGTGATGGCTGAGCATTTGAAACAGGCCTTGTCTCCTCTGACCTGCCACAGAGATCGTGTCAGGATGGCAGGTACATGTGCAGCCTCAACAGGAGCTCACAGATCATGGCATGCTGGGCGTGGGGCAGAAGGCTTTGTTATTTCTTAGGTACTTTCCCCATTCTTCTGCACCCAAGTCCCTTCATACAAGAGCTTCAGGAGACAGTACAACTCTTTAAAAATAAGGGATGTGGCCATTTTCCCCATTATCACACTGTTATGAACACACTGCTATAGGAAATCAATAACTCTTTCAGTGGGATATTGTAAAATTTTAAATGAGGAACATTTTAAAACTATTTTTAGTTTCGGCGAGACTGGAGAGGGAATAGAAGACTGGAGAGGTCCTGTAGATGTCCTACAAGCCTGATCCTTGATGCATTTACACTCAGAAAGGAGTCAGTAGAATGTGAAGAAAAGGAGAGAAGTCAACTGACCTGCTTTCAAATACTGAAGTATATCTAATGGTACACCCAAGTCCCAAAATGACAGAACTAGGTGGCGAATACATGAATGAGTCCGCCAGTGATTCTGAGAGTAAGTTGGGCTCTGTGGGATGTCCCTTATCCTCATCAGCTAACTTACAAATTATTGCCATGTGCTCTAGAGCCTGGGGGCTCCTTGCTATTCCTAAAATGGAAGTGAAAAATGATGGTGCTAACATCCTCATTAATTCATTAGCTAATTCTGCCACCAAGTAATCATTGTCACTCACCTAGTTTTTGTCTTTTTCTCTAATGTATAGAGTCACTCCACATAATATATGCTTGTCATTCAGTCTGTGTGTCAATATTCCAGAAGCAGTAGTGTCCCTGGGCCAGGAAGCTAACCTTCTGAAGCTGGTGACAATAGATCTTTCATTGATGAAACCAAATACATTCTACTAAGAATATTGATGAAGCTGTGGGAGCAGCTTCCACAGAGGCTATCCATACAGATAAATCAGGAGAAGACATATAGCAAATATGGGTGATCCTGGTGTCATGGCCTTTGACAGTTTCTTATTACTTTAATATTTTTTTCTATCATCTATGGGTGTGAGTATGTGCCAGGCTACACTGAATTTTCCTCTGCTTCCTGGAATTGCAATGGTCAATTTTATGTATTAATTCTTAAAGAATAATGTATTTTTCTGTGAGGAGGTGGTATTTCAACTCAGTAATATGACTTTACTTTCTAAATACACTAAACTAAATTAGTTGAAACATTGAATTATTGGAGCCATCCTAAACAAAATTTTTATTTATCCATGCTATAAATTATTTTTCAGTCTATTCAATTTGTCATCTACTGATTAATTCACATTTTCTTATACTTCAGGATATGAAGCAATCATTTATGTTTCAACTGTAATTAATGTCTACTTATACATATATGCATATATGAGAAAGTAATTACATTCTCTTTATTTCCAAGATAAAGTCTGAGAATTGGAGTTAAAACAACACTAGTATCCTGTATTCCCACTTGTTTCCCTTTGGTTGCCTCTTTAACCTCAGGGCTCACTGAGTACTGTCTCAAATTCAATTTGGGGATTTAGTTAGTTGAGGTTTTCAGATCGCTCTTAATATTTTCCCATCTCGACTGGAAGTTGGGCATTTTAATAAAATATGTTTAAGTTGCTGACTAAGGCAAAGACATAAGTTCTACCAAGAATTTCTTAAAACTAAATCCTAAATTAGATTACCTTAGATGTGAGCTACCTGATGATTGAATACTGTAATCGTCTCCGGCTTTTCTCCTAACTGCTCATCCATTGTTGAGGCTATGAATATTTATCAAGTGTCTACAACCTGTCAGACAGCGTGAGATGCTGGGGAAATGTAGATGACAAACCACAGTCTATGCCCTCAGTTGTACTTAGGAGGCTGGCAAGGCTGTGTGGGAATTCACTGGCTAATGGAATCAAGGCTAGATTTCAAGTTTTTGTTCTCTGTCAATTAAAACAAAATTTAGCAGCCTTCCTGGAAAAATCAAGCTTGCCTCTGGCCGCCAAAGTTTCCAAGAGACTTGCAATATGGTTGTTGTAAATCAATATTCTCACACCCGAAACGGGCCTAATCTTACCGTGGGGCCTGATAAATAGATTCCCATGCCCTGTGCAAGTGGTCTGACTCAGTAGATCTGAGGTTGGAGTGACATTAATTTGGGTTTCTTTTTTTTCATATTTTTTTATTTAACTTTTTACTAATTTGGGTTTCTAGCAGGTCCACAGGCCAAGCAGTGGACTCTAGGGAGCTCAGTTTGGTCACCCTTGCTCTAAATTATCATGTTGCTTGATGGTCTATTCTTAGGGACAGCAGCGATGCTAACAACGGCGATGAGAAGAGAGAACATTTAGTGAGCGTTTGTGGAATGTCAACTGTTTTGCCCCTTGTGTTGACCCTTATGTTTAACCCTCACAACAATTGTGACGTGGACTCTGCCAGTTCTTTCTATAAGTGAGAAAATGAGTTTGTGGAGGGGCCAATGTTCACAAGGTTCCAGGGTTCATAAGTGGCAGAGGTCAGGACTTAATCTTTAGGTCATTCATGTACTCCAACCATCAGGCTCTCCTACCCTCCTGTGATAGCCAGCACATCTGTGCAGTGAACACTGTGATGCCCCTTGACAGATGCATGGGCAGGGGCTAGACCTGTCTGCACTCAACCCTGCACCTTGTAGGATTCTGAATAGATCGCTCTCCAGGCTCCTGGGGAAGAGCTTCAGTCAGTTGTCTATTCTAGTGGCTAGGAGGCTTTTGAGATGGGAACTTCCTGTTTAATTAGGAAAAATTCTTCCCTTTTACAGATTTTTAAAACATTAAATGACTTTTTTAAAGATTAAAAATGATTTTAAAAAAGCTAACTATAGCACAGTACACTGGTGAATGAACGCATCTCTAGACCAAAGCAAACATGACCAGGAGGGCTGGAACGAGGTTTGCTGCCTCTTCTGGAAGGTCAGACAACCCCTTCCCGAAGCTCCTTGTCCACATTCGGCCTGTTGACAAGGTGTCTGCAGAGTGAGGCTTCATTCTCCTGACCTGTCCCCATTAAAGTTCGTTTCTGTTCTTGTCCTGATGTGAAAATAGCAGGTATCTGCTATATTAATTAACAGTTCTCTGGGGAGGGTTCAATGGCTCTCCTTCCCCCAGGGTAAGGAACGGCAAAGAATGTGCTAGAGTGTCCGTCAACAAGCCAGGAAGGGTGTCTTGTTTCCTGGTTAGATGCTGTGGCTTTCACTGCAGGGTTACTAACCAGAGTCTGCTCCCACCCACAGAGCAGGGAGCGCTTTCAGTGCGTGCTCAGAAACACGGCCGGCTATGCAACTCCGTCCTGACTCTTCCCTTTCCCTTCATATTTTATCCTTCTATTTTTTTTTCCACAAACTATTACTAAGTCCCATCACTCTTCAAGGGATTACATTGTTTCCCATATCTGGTGGCTGATCGTTCTCTGTGTCTCTTGTCTTTTCAGTGATAATTATACACCTACATTGTGTTGAGTGGAGACTGGCTGTCTTTATTTACCAGACACCAAGCTTTAAAAATGAACTCCTGTCCAAGAGACTATCTCATAGCCTGTCCAGTCCAGCTGTTAAGCTCAAGGAGACCATGATGATGACAGTTATTACAAGTAAAGCGTGGGTACAGGAAAAAGCCACGGAAAGATTGTAGACTGACCAAGTTATTCTGAATTTGACGTTCATGAAAATGGGGTCCGATCGAAGAACAGAACTTTGTCACTCGGCCCCTCCCGTATGTATGCCCCATTCCATCACAGGTCCCTCGGCCCTAATAAAAGTCACCATGTCCTAGCTGTGTCACAATCAATCTTGTATCCTCACGGTGTGGTTCTGCAAGCTGACCTCTACACCCGCGCCAAGGCGTGCTTGTATGTGCACATCATGCGTATTGACTAACTAAAGACACAGCTCAAGCAGGGAAAGGGCAAATGCTTGTTCTCCTTTGTTTACTAAAGCCCAAGGCAAGGAACTGGTCTTTATCGTGTTTCAAAGGCTGCTAATTCCTTTCTAGAAGGCCATCCTAAGAACTCTGTAGGTGGAGGCTGGAGGAATGACTCAATAGTTATGAGCACGTGTTACTCTTTTTTTTTTCCGAGACAGGATTTCTCTGTGGCTTTGGAGGCTGTCCTGGAACTCACTCTATAGACCAGGTTGGTCTCGAACTCACAGAGATCCGCCTGCCTCTGCCTCCCGAGTGCTGGGATTAAAGGCGTGCTCCACCACCACTCGGCTATACGTGTTATTGTAGAGGATAGGGGTTCAGTTCTCAGCAACTACATAGAGGCTCACAAACACCTTTAATTACAGTTCCAGGGGATCCAGCATCTGCTTCTGACCTCTTCGGGAACAAGCACACATGTAGCAAAATGCTTATACACATAAAATAAATCTTATTTAAAAAAAACAAGAAACAAAACCTCATGGATGTAAACTCATTTAACAGATTTCAATATTCTGCATTTAATACCACACTGCAGCTTAAAACTGTAACATCTCTGACCCTCAGAAGTCTCTTCATAGTGCTCCCAAGCCCCTCCCACACAATCCATGTGATTAATGAAACTTCTCCAATGAGATGTTCTAGGCTTACCTTGTAGCCTCTCTGCACCCCACCTGGAATCTGCTGTTTCTTTGCCAAGGCTGGGTTCTTTTAGTGAGACAATAGGTCTTTCAACTGCTTCTTCCAATGTGTTCTGCATCATTGGGGAAAGTTTTCTGACTTCCCCAAGCTCCCTCCACTGTAGCTTGATGTGGTGGTTTGAAAGAAAATGATCCCCAAAAGGAGTGGCACTATTAGCAGGTGTGGCCTTGCTGGAGGAAGTGTGCCACTGTAGGGGTGGGCTTTGAGATCTCTTTTTCTTTATGTGCATGTGTGCCTGTGTGGGAGTATTGCACGCCAGTGCAGGTACTCCCAGACACCAGAGAGTGCCAGTCACACTGAAGCAGTTACAGGCAGTTGTACCTCACCTGGCATGGGCGTGGGAACCAAACTTGATTGAGTTCTTAGCTTCTGATCCTTCTCCCCAGCCCCAAGAAGTGTTCTTAACACATACGTTCCATGGGGGAAATGGGAGGGCTAGGATTTATTCTTTTATGTATGAAACGGCCTCTCATGAGCATAAAAATGCAGACTTGCTGCAAGATGGCTCCTCTCTCTTGCCTCTGGAGGACGGCAGCCCTGAAATTGAAGTCAACATTCTCTCCTCCAGCCTGGCAGGCCCTGTGTCCTTGTAAGGGACTGTGAAGTCACAGCCTCTGTAGTTTTCTGAGCTGGTGCTGGCCGTCTTCGCTGATCCCAGTGCCGTGCTGCTTGGAGCTGTTGCTGACGGTTTCTTTTGAGTATGGACAAGGCCGGAGGCCACCTTTGATTGGCATTTCCTTTATTAGCTGGGAACACTGAAACAATAGGCCCTTAGACTGCGTGCCAGCGCTGGTGTTTGGCCCACAAGTGTCTCTTGGTGACCTTTATTTGCATTGGCCTGCAGATAATAGTCAGTTTCCTTAGTGAGGAGGAGGTAAGAGGCACATGCGAAGCCTAAGTATCAACTCTGAGGACTTAAGTATAGGATGTTCGGAGGGCGCTGGCAGCCTCTGTTCCTCTGCCTTTTATGAAATGGACAAAGGCTGTGTCGTTAGCTGCCTGGCCAGGCATCGCCACTGGGCACTGATGGGTCAAAGACTGTAGAGATTAAGCCACCAGTGTCTTCAGGAGGTCCCCAGAACAGGGGCCACACCTGGTAAGTCAGGAAGGGTGTCAAACCTTGCCAGTTGCCAACCAGCAGCCTGCAGAGGAGCTGCGCCTGGCCACCACGGAGTTAAAGATACTTAAAGATCTGCCAGCATTTAAATATCAGGAGACTTCATGCTTTTGTGTCAAGATAAAGGTCAATCTTGAGCTCTCTGAGAAGGCAGAGGGCCTGGTGCTACACTCGGCAGGTGCTGACTGGCAGGCATTTCCTGCTGTCATGGTCCTATGTCCTCTTTTCTCTGGATTGTTCCTGTGAGCACATGAGCAGATTGGTATTTCTCCTTTCTTAAAAAAATCATCAAACTCTCCCTACCGCACATCATGGACCATTCCGTTGGCTTTCTTCTCTTGGCAGCAAGAGCTCAAAAGAGTTGTTCACAGGCAGTGGGAGCCACTGTTTCCACATTTGCTAGCATGTTCTGCTTGCAGCTTTGGCCCCCAGGCTCCTCCCCCGCAGAGTACACTGGGAGCTGCCCGAGGTGGGCATCGCCCACCTGTCAGACTCTTGCTCCCGCTGCCCCTTCTCTCTGGCCCCTGTGCTAGGTAAAACCTTTCTGTCCATGGCATCCACCTCTCCCCTTTGTGAAGAGGGCTGTATGGCTTTGCCCCTAGTTCATTTCTCCAGCTGAAGCTGGAGACCCGGCTGTCTGCCCGACCTTCTCCTTTATGTTTCACAATGCTCTTGATCTGACACATCAGAACTGAGCTCTCTCCTCCCTGCCTCTGGTGGCGTCGGTGTGTTTCTCCGCTGCCTTCCTGGGGGAGCGGAGGGGTGCGTGCTCTGCAACTCTCTAGTTTCTGCCTTAACAAATGCCAGCAGACAGGGGAAGGAGTCATGGTGTTCATTCTTCAGGGTGGCCCTGGGCTGGGTGTGTCCCTCTCTCAGAGGTAGTTAGTTCAGCACTGCCATCTCCACGGGATTCTTTCCTGTCTGGATTTCCTAAGTCTCCCTCAAGCCCACGGTTGGTCACAGTCCAACTGTTGCTTTCCCTGAACCCTGCCCACACCTGTGTAAACGGCCCCTTCATTATGCCCTCTATTAATTTTCTCGACGCGTACCATCTGTTGCCTGGTGGACCTTGCCTGTACACCATATTGTCACCAATTCTATTTGAAAAGGTGGTACAGAGAGTGGATAGCCGCTGTGTACGGACAGTTAGATACACGTGTCCATCATTTCCCATCACTAGAAGCCTGAGGGGAAGACAGAGCGACATGCTCATCCCAAGAAATGTCTGTGATGAGACGTTTTCCCTGGACAAGTGAGAGCCCAGGGCCAGAGCACAGGAGCTGAGAGCAGGGGCCTCAGACGTGGTCTGTACAGCACTCCACGCAGGCATCCCCTGCTAAGTGGTCCACGCCAGCCATTGGAATGCATACTAAGTTGTAACTCAGTGAAACCTTCAAAGAAGTCTGGGACCTGCAATCCTGTGCATTTCCTGCCTTGTTTTACCAAGATGCATGTCACAGAGGCTGTCACGTTTCCATAATTCGAATTATGGGCACTCACTAGCCGTCCAAGATAGAAACATTATTAAGTTATATACAGGCACTGACCCAGGCCACTCAATAAGCAGGGGACCAATGAGAGGCTCCCGTTTGACTGAGACCGTTGTTTACCTTGGCTGATGCTGTTTATGGCCTCAGGAAAGACAGAAGCTAGAGCTCTACCTTTTGAAGCTTCTCCTTCGAAATGTTCTTTTTTTTTTTTGTTTTGTTTTTGTTTTTACGAGACAGGGTTTCTCTGTATTGTTTTGGAGGCTATCGGTCCAGCCCAGCCTCGAACTCACAGAGATCCGCCTGCCTCTGCCTCCCGAGTGCTGGGATTAAAGGCGTGCGCCACCACCGCCCGGCTCCTTCGCACTGTTCTAAAAGCCCAGGTGTGGTGGTTCCTCCTGGATGGTTGGGGCACCCAGGAGAGGCTTCCGTGACAGGAACAAGTTTGAAGTAGAGAGTTTATTTCTAACTTCACATCCATGTCCACTACCTCCTCGTCTCCTCAGAGCCACCGCACCTGCAGCTTCTAGGACTCAGATGCGACCTCTCTTCTTCAGTCTGCAAACTAAACAGCTTGTAGAATGAATTAATGTAAAAGCCTGAGAGAGAAAAATCTACAGGCAAAGGGGCCAGTTTTGTTTTTAAAATACAAGAAAAATGCTATAAAGAATCCTATGAAATGTCAATCAAGATAAAATAAATATAGGTTATTTGTATTATCTGGGAAGGTCAAAAATTAATTTTTTTAAAATTCCGTTTTGGAGAAGCTTAAATAAGAATGGAAGGAAAGAGAGCAAAAGTCAAAGAGTTACATCCTTGGGGATTTGTTCCAGTGGAGCAACAGAAATATTCTGTAATAGAGGAATTCTTAGATAAACTCACATAAATACATATATGTATCAGCTAAATATATATACATATATGTTAGTTAAATGTGTTTTCACACACAAGCACACATCGAGCATTATTTTCTCAATATTTATTTGAATGAATAATAAGGTAAAAATTAGGAAGAAAAACATCTGTATGTTTATTATTGTAACTGTTCTGATTATATATGTGTACCTCTGTATTATAGCTAAGAAATTGGAGGCACATGTGACAAACTATTAGCAGTGCTTACCTCTTAGATAACTAGCTTTCTAGTGCTGAGATGAAAAGCAGCTTGGAGAGAAAGGGGTTGTTTCACTTACATTTCCTATCACAGCCCTTGTCCAAGGCAGGAGCTGAAGGCAGGAACTGAAGCAGAGGCCACAGGGGATGCTGATTCGTTCCCTGGTGTGCTGAGCCTGCCTCCTCCTACATCCAGGACCACCAGCCCAGGGGAACAGCCACTCACAATGGACTGGGTCCTCCACGTCAATCATCAATCAAGAAGATGCCCCACGGGCTTGCCCACCGGCCAGTCTGCGGCATTTCTCAACTGAGGTTCCCTCTTCCCAAATGACTCTATCTGTGCTAAGTTGACATATAACTAAGCGGCACATCTTTGGATGAGGATGCATCTGGTTGCTTCTAAGTTTGCATTTTAGTTTTTTAATTAATTTTTTATCTACTTAGTGTATATGTGTGCATTTGTCAGGGAGTCAGCTTCTGCCATGCGGGTGCTGGGAATCAAATTCAGGTCCCTGGGTTTGGCATCAGGTGTGGTCTCACTGGCTCACTGTATATTTTACATCTTTTCCCAGTTGCCATGCATATGTATCAGCTTAATAACTGAACGCGAAAAATAACTCTTGGAAGGAGATGTCGTTGCTCTACAAAAAGGGCTGGTGGCTACAAGGAAGGGTATTTTGTGTGCCTTCTACTACACACAATAGATGACTGTAATTAGCAGGATTCATAGAAGAATAAATAGTGGACCTTTATTGCACACCTGCCATGTGCAGGCACCGACACACCTTGGGCTGACTCTGTTACACTGACTCCTTCACAGATTCTCTTTAATTCTTTTCTAACAGCACCATGAAGGTAGATACTAGAATAGTCTGGAGAGGCAGCTGGGGTTTAGAGAAGTTAAGTAGACTTATTAGGATAAAGCCAATGCTGTGACAAACTTATTTTTTTAAGCATCTAAAAATCCATTGGCAGCAACACCGGGACTGAGGGTGGGTTTAGTTTCCACTCTGTATACTGACGGGGCCTCTGCTGGACTCCAGTGCTGCTCGAGATATTCCTCCCAGGCCAGTGGTCAGGATAATTGAGACAGCGGAGGCCAGTGTGGCATTTATGGCTTGGCCCTGGAAGTGGTGTCTGGAAATGAGCCACGTGGTCACTTCTACCTGCAGGGGAAACTAGAAAGAGTCTGGTTGTGTCCCAGAAGGGAAAAACAAGCATTCCCGGGTGTTCTGCGATGCTTTGCATTCTGTGAGTGATCTTCCCAGAGTCAACGATAGCGAGGCTGTGAGTGTAGTCGGTCCTGTTAAACTCAGAGCCAGGCAGCCACACTAAGAGATGTGTTTGTAGATGGTGCCACCATGATGTCTGGCTTCGTCCCCACCACTGCCACCCCTGCTGCCCTGAGCTGGTCTCACCTCACTCGGTATTTTATTTTTTAGAAGTGTTTAGTGTAAAGGGAGGCTTTCCCGCCAGCCTGTTCCAGAGCCGCATCAGTCCCAAATGAACACACAGGAGGCTATATTAATTATGAAGCTGTTGGCCTTGCTTGTTTCTTACTGGCTAGCTCTGACTTAAGTAATTACCTCATAATTGTTAATCTAAGTATTTCTCTTACCGGAGAAGTTTCCGGGCTTCCTACCCCATGGTGTTACATCTTGACTCCTGTGTTTCTCTTTCCCAGAGTCCTCCTGGACTCCTAGTCCCACCTATCTTGGTTCCCTATTGGCCAACAGTGCTTTATTGACATATACACAGGAGTTCCCCCATCAGTTTAGGACTTGCCTCTTTTGCTTTTTGTGTGTGAATTCTTGGCCTGCATACACGTGTGTGCAATTCCATGCGTGCCTGCTGGATTCCCTGGAACTGGGGAGTGGCTGGGATCCACCATGTGGGAGCTGAGAATGAAACCCAGGTCCTCTGTGTGCGCTGGGAACCAAACCTGGGCCTCTGCAAGAGCAGCAAGTGCCCTTAGCCACTGAGCCACCTCTCCAGGCCCCTTTGGTCAGGGTTTCTTGCCAGGATCCGTTCAGTCTCCTTTAGATGTGCCGCAGCGCCAGCTGCGCTAGCCTCTGTGTCACAGCTCTGCAAGCATGTCCTATGAGCATGCAAATATGCTTATATAACTTCTGGGCTTACAAGTTCCAGTAAGTTCCACGAATAAAACTCAGCATGCCGGGCTAACACAGGCCCTGAGGAATGCACGCCTGCCCGCCCCCTTTCTGGTCCTTTTCGTGAACCCCACCCAGTTCTCTGGACACCTCACTCTCTTCTTCACCTCCCTGGCTTTCACTGGACTACATTTCCCGCTTCTCCACTTGTCTGAGTTACATGCATCCCTCAATGCCATCAAGCGTTATCTTTCCAGGGACCTTT